TATGTATACGAAAATAGTTAAAGACATATTAAAATATGTCTTAGAAAAAAATGAAGGATATAAAACCATTAAAACTTACTCAAAGGTCATGACAAGAAATCAAAATGTTAATTTAGAAATAAAACAAAAGTTTTTAAATTATTTAAATATGCATCCACAACAAGTGTAGATGTTTAACGTGCTTTTTCATTGTATAAACATATTTTAATTGACAGACGATACATTTTTTAAGAACACAATTTAGAGATGTATATAAATATAAATTTGAATTCAGAAAAATGATATATTAATATTATATTGATGACCATAATATTATTTAAGTACGTGATTAATGATTATATACATCTTTGATATGATTTTACTATGTAATCTTAGGACATTTTTAATGCAATTATATCTGTTCTTTTGTTATAACACAGAAACGCGGTGTTGATGTTAATAACTGTTTCTATTGTAACTACAAAATGGGTTACCGTGTTCGGTTGGAACGCAAGATGGGCGAGTAGTCATAATAATGAAATTTAACACATAATCACAGCTTCAGCCGTAAAAAAAGAAAAGTCTCGGGGAGGGAGCAAATGCCGCTATCGCCCTCTCGTCCCTAAATACGCCACTGGTATCCGACGGAACATGAAACCTAGCAACGGAACGAAAAAAACGTTTGGCACTAGAACGTTGAGAAAGACCATTACGATTGGAGAATCTACTCCACTTCATAACGAGTATTCGAAAATCGCGTTTTATATCGGTAACCCGAAGACGACAGTGTCACATCCTGTTCGTATACGAAAACTGGTCGTTGTATGCATATAATATATATATATTATATTTATATATATGGCCATTTATGTGCAATGTTGCACGTGCGGTTTCGGCATCAAGTACGAATCGTGTAATGTTCCACGGACATATGAAACGTGTAAAGAAAATGTCATTACTCATTTATATTACGATTTGAAATACTGTCATCGGTTTATAATTGCAATTTTTTCTAAATACGTATGTGACAACGTCCGAGTTCGACCACAGCATATGATTATTATGTTGATGTTCAACAATCTCATTAACGCCTAGCAAAGCTGTTCGCTATTCTGAACGGGTAGTCTGCTCTAAAGAAAAAGTGTTCACTACTTATTTACAAACAAGTACTGCGACCATTGATTACATATGCTTGTAAATGTTCGGGGCAAATGTGCACAAAACCCACTTTAAAAAAATAAAAAACCGCAAGTATTCCAAAACAAAACCTTAAGGGTAAAAAAAAAAAAATGCTGCTCGGTTTGAAAGAAATCAAAATATTCCAAGACTATATTCGAAATTTGTTTGATTATTTCTTCAAATCCATACAGTAGTCAACGGTTTAGGATACAACACCGCCTAAACAGAGTACCATCGCTCAAATTTCGCCTTAGACGAGGAATCCCCCGATGACGTTATGGTTTAAATACATTTAAAATTCAATACTAATCCACCAAGCGCTTAGTCATTACTGCATTATTATTAGTATTAGTTTTGTCCGTCGCACTTAGCACAAACGAAACACGTATAATTTATCATCACTGAACGTAGACACGACAAAAGCTTACTAGGAATATCTTGTTATACGGAGTAAAAATTATAAACTGTTACCTTAGCACTATATTATTTTATGTAAATGGAAAATCGGCCGCCCGGTGTGTGTATATCGGTGTCCGTAGACCTACGCGCCTTGCGAACGGATCAAGCCCATATCATTTTCTTCGTCATTTCCGTTTTACCTGCACTCGTTTAAGGACGTGTTCGTCGGAACTCGTTTAATGGACGTTGCGCATGATGTTACACTTTCCAGCGATTAATCTCGCTGGACCTCTGTGCGTGGATGACCACGGGATAGCCATACTCACCTACACGTACGTCACATACAATACCGCAATTGACGTATAAAATATTTCAAATAGCTACCTTACACTATACTCCCCATTCGACATTTTTTCTAGGCTTCAGTTCTTTATTCTTCTCGTTGTGCGAAGTAACATATTTGTACGGTGAAAACTACTTTTTTAAACCCTATTCGGATTGTATTGATTTTCTACAGGCGATTTCGTCGGATAAAGTTGTTTTCGACCATCAAAATTAACAGCATGACGACGATTTCCATTTGTTATCAGAATTCATCCAGTCCCTTAATTTCATCTTTTATTTTTCACAACCCGTCCACACGGCTTTGTGGCGTGTATCAAAATTATTAAAACGTGTTGTACATTTGTCTAAAACGCGCGCGATTCATATATGCGTGCAGTAAATAAATAATTAGTTTAAAATCAATCGCAAGTTTTCAAATCAGTAAGATCATGAAAATCTAGTTCGTATATGTGGTAGAGATTTGGATTATTGGAATGGATGACAGCTTTTAGACAACACCAATGGGGTCGTAGAGTCGATACGATATAAATGAACAACCAGTTATTGTATCGATATAGGAGTTTCGAACAGTTTCCTTGGTGGTGACATTTTTATTTTTAGACCAAATCATGAAATCCGAATTTATATACATTAAGGTGTACACATTTCATTCGATATTCGAATGAAATAAATCCAAGTTCGATACATTACAGGTGTGGACTCATATATATATATATGATTTGAATAGTGTCAAGTGATTTTTTTAATGCGATGTTAATTAATTTTGTTATTTTCTTTAGCAATTAAAACCATAAAATAATAGCTTATAGTTATTGTTTATAGTTTTTCAGGCATTGATGTACGTTTTTTTTTGTAAATATTCGCATTTTATATTTAAATAACTGTGACTGAACGTGTAATTTGACTCCGACAAAGAGCTAAAATTGATCGTGATAGATCGTAATACACCGAATACCGCATAGATCGTCGTGCCTAAACTCAACCAAATGACCTACACGGAGTTGCAATCAGTACCATTTGTATCTTGTATACGGATTCAATAACATCGCAGAAAGAATACTATTCTATTTCGAATTCGATTTAGTTCTTCATCACCCAATTATAGATTTTTCAATTGAAATAAAAATCTCCCCTCCCAATCACACATACACATAATATCCCCCCCCCCGAAACTGGTTGTTCATTTATCGTAGAGAATTTATTCCCGCCATCCAAATCGTACGATTGGTTCAACACCCTGTGTAGTATCTCTTCCACCCTTCGAGTTCAACGGTGCCGGGTGATGGCCATTTTACGTTTACACCCCGCTGCTGTCACCGGAGGATACTTACATGATTGGTAAGCACTTGGTTTCTGACGGGTTCTTCGACGATAAAAACCTGTATAATGCCGAACACTGTTAGACTTTCGTTTTGTTCGACGCTGTGGAAATGACAAGGAATTCAAAGAAAGATTTTGACGCTGAAGAGGATGGGTTATGAAAAACAGTCAGTTATATAATATAATATACGATTTTTTATATTTTGTCAATAATAATACTATACACGATCCGTTCGGATTTCAATAAGTTATAATATAAAATCAAAATTCTGCTTACAAACGATATCTATGATACAAAAGAAAGACAACGGTAGCAAGACGCAGAGCAGAGACTCATGTCGCAGAACATACATAATAATATTATAGTAGTACATAACGTATGATATACATCATTATGTTAATAAATAGCTCTAAATCTATTTGCGGAACTAAGGGTATTAGTTTATGTCGTTTATACAATACAAATCTAAGAACGGAGAGAGAATAAAATACTATTTGTGTATTTGGATTAAAATTACGACGGTACTTTAAGTATACTTTAGCTATAGCGTTTTAATTTTTCATTAATTTTCGTTAATTATAATTATACATAAAATAAAAATGCCGTAACGGAGATACAAACACATTTTGACCGAATCCACGAAATCGAATATAATATATAACATAAAGAATTGACATGTATATTAATTTAATACGATTGTTCGTTTTAAATTTTAAATAAATATCTTCAAGTGTATGAAAAATGTAATTGTGTATTTACATATTAAAATAAATATTTAAAAAATCTATTACTACAATAATAAAAATTTTGGATCACAAAACGCTTATAATCAAGTCTTCCGATAGTTATTTTACATATATAATAAAAAAAATTTATCCATGATAAAATTCTTGTGTCCAAGTATGATTAATTTTTTTTTTTTTTTTTTGTGGACCGAAGAGAGAGATGATCATTTTAACAAATATTCAACATTAACATCTTTAACTCTAAATATAAGTGTATCTAATAATTAAGACTAATATTATTCTAATAGCTAAGAACACTATATAACTAAATCCTAAGAAAAAAAGAGATCAAAAATCCTAAGTAATTTTACATCTATATAATATAATTTTTTATTAAAAAAACTTACAACTATAGTTAATATTAAATAATGTACAAAGTATTTATGAATATATATATATATAAATATATGATTTATATGAATCATGAAAAACATCATTTATGCCATAGATTCGTCCAATATATATAATTAAAAACATAAAAAAATGGCATAATCACAGAAACGCTTTGATGGGCGAAACGAGGAACATTCTCAGGAGGAAATTCGCAAAGACTGATTTAAAAGCTCGAAGCATATGAAAGGCCCCGGGAACGTCCAAGTTTTATTAAACACCACAGAAATGCTTTTCGAAATAAAAAGAAAAATTGGAAATAATAAAAAAAAAGTTTAAAAAAAAACACATGCAACATAGTAATAATAACATAATATTATATTATTATTACGGTCAAACCCCAACAAGCATTATATTTTGTATATACATAGCAGTTATTATTAAATATATATTTTTTTTTATGATTCCCCTACGTTATCGTTGATAGTATGCACATTTAAACGGGATCTTGGCGTCTACACCTTCCATACTACTACCGTTTCACTCACCATTAGAACGAATAGAAACAAGAGAAAAACGTCCACAGAGAATTCAATTTTTTTTTTTTTTGCTGTAGTAATTTTTTAACGGTTTGGTTAACAAATTAATAATAATGCAGAATATGTGTGTGTGTAATAAAATTAAAAACGCGCTTATTTACAGTGAACAAAATATAAAAAAAATTAATATAATATATAGCATTTCGTACTAATTCAAAACCGCAAACGCGACGCGCTGCGGTATTGCCGTTCAGAAATCTATAGTTTTAAAAAACGAGATCAAAATGTGAACAGATCTGGGACTGAAACCGCAGAATTTCTATGTGAAACGATATTAAAATACAACAGAAAAAGCGTAGAAATAGAGATTAATTACAAAAAAAAAAAAAATTTACACTTATTATATAATAATTTAATATACAAAAAAAAAAAAAAAAAACCCCGAAGCATATGTATCTTATAACAGCAGTAGCTGATCAATACACACTTAAGAGTCTATAATAGTAAAATTAGTAAAATAATAATAAAAAAATAATAATTAATCATGATAAAATTAAATAATATAAATTAAATTTGGCTACGTTTGCGGATCATCTCACAATTCAGCAAGTATTGAGATCAACGGTCGATTTGATTAGCATAAAAATAAAAGTTTGTTGTAGTCACCATAACCGTGACTGGAACCTTATTGTAGTCTTTTAGACGTGAAAAATTTTGTTTTTCTTTCTCTCTCTCTCTCTTTCGAAACACAACTATTGTTTAATGAACATCTTCCAGCCGATGATCACGAACACGGCAGTGAGAATGGACGAGTCGATTTTCGACGGTGTAAGTAGCGACATGAGTCGCTGTTTTACATTCGACTTTTTGACGACAACTACGGATTCTTCGGCCTGCCAACAAAAACAATTGCACACACATGTAGAATAATTGCTGGCTTAAATTATACCAAAAGCCGTGTTCAAATAGGTAATGAGTTTGACGGTTTTTACTTTAGAAAAACGTATAAAGCGTATTATATTTAAAATTGACCGGGTGATTTTTGACGCGCTTTGAACTGAATCAATAGTGATGATTAATAGAGTTATTATTTTCAAAAACAAATCTACGGGAATCGCTAGTATAACAATGATTGACGAAGTTGGAAAAAGGCTCAATCAGACGAACAATTGCGTAGAGAGGGGTACCTCTCTACGCACCCCGATCGGGGTGACGTTATGATCGGAAGGGGGGGAAGGGGCAGGTACACATTTATATAAAACAACAGTAAGTACGAGTAGGCACACTCACGTCATTGTCGAACGATCTGCGGTCGGCGATTCCGGTGGACCGGTGTCGTCGAGACAACGGAAGTCCGTCGTTCGACTTGTCCCGTCGGTTGGCCGCGACGACTTTGAACTTTTGATGATCGTAATAGCACTCGGGGCACAGTTCGACTTCGAGCAAAATCTTCTTGGTCGGTTTCTTGTCCGCAGACGGTTGCGGCGGCGGCGGCGGCGGCGGCGGTGGCGGTGGCGCTGAGGACATGGTCGACGTGATCAAGTCGGGCAACGGTAACTGCTGCTGTTGCCCTTCCGATCGGTTGTGCGTCTCGGCGGTGGCTGTGGCCAGTCTGCGGTGGTGATGAACGAGCCCGCGCGCGGATTGCTGTCTGTTGCCCGCGGTCTGCCGGCGCTGTAGCATGAACGTGGCCTGCGAATTGTCGATGACCGCGGTCGCTGTGGGCATGCCTGCCGAGCAAAAGGAAAACAGTAAAACGTTAGCAACGGAACATTGTACGCCGTTCGGTTTCAACGTTTTTTTTTGTTTTAGCGCAAGAGAAGATTTACTTGCGAGAGGATTGATTGATTTATTTATTTATTTTTTAATATTATTTATTGTAACAGCAGCGAAAAACGAAATTAAAACGGCGAGTTTCGCGTTTGGCTAGCGATGAATGTTGAATAATACGAAAACAACTAAAAACAACTGGACGAATAAGAAGTATGTTATGTTATTCCGTAGTGTTCTCTGTTCAATCGAACGGAACGCAACTTCTCTCGATCGTCGACATGCGACCGAGTACGATTTGTACAAAGTTATAATGGGAGAAGCGACGTATTATATTCCGCTAAAACACCGTACTCGAGTAGGTCTAACCGTGCACAGAAGACCGCACGCGGTTTGTGGACGAGCATCGTCGGCCTTGGACGGGACGCGGCGGGCGCACTTGTTGGCAAATTATCGCCTTTTGTCGCGCGCGCGTTCGGGGAAACAATAGGGGCCGTCGAATTTCGCAATGATTTTTTTTTTTTTTTATGCTTTTTACCTAATAAAATACTCACGACAATATTGTGATATTCCATCCGTGTGTCACGCCACGGCTCTATCGAAAGTCGTTTCCCACCGTTGAATCAAAGATAATGAATGCGCGTAATACGGGCACGTGTGCACAAAAGAACAACGATTCCATTTCAACAAACACATGTCGTAATTATGAAATCGTATCGAAATAAATATTTAAAAAACTTTGAATAATAAAAATAAAAAATAAAAATAAATCTCGGCTGATAGCGCCGTACGTACGTATGTGCCGGCGAAATAAACGCAGAAGAATTAATTTCGTTTCGCATATTGCGGAGATGAAAAATGTTATTATTCAATATTATAAAAAAATTATTTTGACAGTTAATAGCATGCGTTTATGTACTGAAAGCGTTAGACAAAAGTGACCGGAACGGAACCAGAATTATTAAAATCGTACAGATGCCGCGAAAACGGAATTTTTCATTTTTCGCGGCAAATTTAGTTTTTTCCATGTGTTAGGGAACTAACGGAAAATTGATCTAATGCACGTTGAACACACAAACAAACGAAGAAAAATATACATGGGTCGTTCACACGCACCACGTCGACCGCCGCACGGGTTCTATTATGTTCGTATGCAGTATTATTTCGAACGCGGTATAGACATGTTCGCCAACCACGTCGGGTGGGTGACCTTACGGCGGGAGAGACGCGACAGGTCCGTAAAGAGTCTCGTGACGGCTACGGCACATAATCGAGGCAAACACGGGAAGCTGCTATTCATTCTGACCGACCGAAAATTTTTGTGACGATTTTTTTTTTTTTTTTTAAGTTTAATAATTTTAAAATTTATGGTTAACGGAGCAGTATAAAATTATAGGTAACACGTTGCTGTTTAAAAATTAATAATTTTTTCGAAAACTGAAATTCATTTTTCAAATCTTGGATATATACTGTAGAAGAAGAAAAAAAATTACGAACAATTTAACAATCATCCGAAAGGTAATACCGGACGGTTGACAATTTTTTTTTTTTTTACCGTATACGTTGATTGATCCACGTTTACCGATTTTAAAATCACAAGTACAGTTTTATCCGCGTTTCATATAACTCGCGACGAATGCTTTACGCAACATAAATTATTTTTGCACGTGTATATTTATTTTCGCAATTAGGTACTATTATTTTTATTTAATTTTTTTTTTCAAATGACCGGAAAATATTTTTTAAGACAATAAAAATAAACAAAATGTCGAAAATTATTTATTGACTAATTTTTATGCGAAATTTTTATTTCAAGAATTTAATTTTTACCGAATAATTTTTTTTTAGAATTAGATTTTGTTGTCGTAGTTTTCCGGGTATATTTTAATTTAAAAAATGTCCGCAATAATAAACTAACCTATCGGGATGGGACTTAAAAAAAACACTTACCGGTGACGGTTGTCCAGGGCATCCATCTGAGCAATGTCAACAATTCTTTGAGTAAATTTTCGATTCGCAAATACGAATGATCTTCACTGTCGCCTTCGACTCTGAACGGTACAGCCATGGCGATGCAGCGTATTTCGTTTAATCTCTCTGGTTTTTTTTTTCGGCGACCAACCTCGGTAAAACAGTGTTGGATTTTAAATTTTTTTTTTTTCGCGTCGAAAAAAAAAATTTTATAAAAACCGAAAAAAATTATTTTCCGGTAAAAAAAAACCGCACGTACGATAACGTATGATTGTCTATAACGCGTGTAGAAAAAAAAAAAAATAATAATAAACCGCCAAACGACACTGAATATCGTGTTTGTAACGAGCGTAAATAGTTTATTTTAAAAAAAAAAAAAATAATAAAAATACGTATAATATTATTCGACTGGAATATTCCAAGTGGCGGCGGCGGCGACGGCGGCGACGATGAACGTACGTAGAAGAAGAGTGCTCGGAAACGGTTCCGATTCACTCGACACCCGGAAGAGTTGCGCGTGGTCCAACGACTGAAGAGCGGCTCCGGCGTCGAGAGACCCTTTCGCTCGGTTTCGGCGGCGGTGCGTGGCGCGGCGCGCGTCAGACTCCGGTCGCGGCGTTGCGCGTGCGCGCGTCTTAGCCGACGGGACACGACCGCGGCCGACGGGGACACGCCGCTCGCGACGACCACCACTACTAACTACTACTGTTGCCGGTGCGCGCGCGTGCGCGTGTGCCGACCGGGTTCGGTCGCGATCGCCGCGGGTCGTACGATCTCGGCGGAGGTACTGATTTCCGCCGCCGGCGCGCGCGTTTTTCGGCGGGACTCGCGTCCCGCGCTTTTTCGGGCCAATCGTCGGCCGGCTGGGCGGCTGCGGTGCGAGGGCTGCCCCCGCCTCGAAAAACCCTGCCCCCCTCGCACCGCAACGCGCGGTCGACTTTACGCGTGTGCGCGCGCGTGCGAAATTTTCCTAGTCGTTTTGGTTGTTGTTTGAAGAAGAAGAAGAAGAAGAATTTCCGTCCGTCTCGACGGACCGATCGGCCCGACCAACATCGCCGTGCCGAAAACGTGCAACCGAGTCCGTTTTCCCGTAACAACACTCCGTTCGATATCGGAGACGTCTCGTGCGACGGATTGGATACGTCCTGTGTGTCACCCGCGACATTAAACGATCGTGGATTTTCGGCTAACGAATAATGATCGTAGACGATTTTCACGGCGGTAAAAATATGGCTCGTTCGACGTACAATGTTATACCCTCGCCTTATGCAATATGATATATTATCGTATTGAACATGTCAAACGAGACACGTGTTAAAAATAGTTACAATTTATTTTTCGCTCTTGTCGAAATCGATCGCAAAGAACTATTAATTACTACCGAAAACGGAGCTACACCCCCTCGGATTTCGTGACTACTACATTGCATAGGCGGAAATTCTCCATAATTTTAGAGGGGGCTAATATTTAAAAATACTTTATTGCAAATCAAAGCTAAAAAAAAAAAAATAATATTACCCTATAAATATCATGCAAAACCTAAGCATGATTTATTTTAGATAGATATACTACTATACAATGCAGTGCATTGCCGCGTCAATCCTTATATCGGTCCATTCCATATCGTTTGGTAACGAATGTTCGTGGTAAGGATCAGGGCCGTGTTTATGATTTTTCCGTCAAGGGGCAACGGCATTTTGCCACCCCTCTTCATTGTACTGTAAACCCGAAAATAAGTGTCTCCAACTATTCATTAAAAAGCCGCTCGCAATTAATTCTCCCCAATTTCAATACACTATAACGAGATATTTGTAATTAACGTCAAATCCAAAACAATAACTGAGTTTTTATCATAATATAGAATAAAGTTATAAAAAGTTGTCTTTTATAAGACTAATGGTGGTACCCTTAAATAATTTAGTACCTCACGGTCTGAATACCCCATTCCTACTCAAATCAAGATTAAACCAATACCTATATCTCAATAAAAATACTCTAAAATAAAATAAATTATTTTACGGTATAACAATAATTTTTTATATAATTTTATTTGTTCGTAAATAATTTTCCGTTGATAATACGAAATAATCGATTTGGTATTATTTAGAATCACCGTGCAAATATTGCAGCCCTCTTAAATAATTCAGGGGGCCATTGCCTCCCCGAACCACCCCTTAAATATAACCCTGGTCAGGATTATAATATTGTTTGCGTAAGTGCTTTTGTCGTTAAATTCATACGCCTTGGACGATCGACGGCGATACGGTTCTACCATTGATTTTCAATATTTAATATACGAAAAATATCAAATCCACGTTTAATAATACGATGCATCTAACCTTTTCGCTTCCAAAATGTCTAAATTTAAACGCAGTTATTATTACTATTATAGTTCCTGCGGGCTTTACTACACGTTATTTATTAGACGTACAATACAATTCGTTACAAATAAATGACTAAAGGAAATTATATATTTGTTTGGTTAAAGTACAACCTAAGGCGATTTTACTCGAATAATATTGATAATTATACTTAAATGAACACCGTTGTTTTCAACTTATATGTATTTCAAATATTAAAACCAAACCACAATCCCATTGTTTTTAAAATAATGATACAAGAAGATAGTTAATGGTTTTCTAATGTCTATTTCAAATCCATTAACTTAACTAATTAGTAATTTTTAAATGCGTCTTATTTAATCTGAAACGCCATAAGCTCAGGCTCTGATTTAACTAATTCGTAGGAACAGTACCTATAAATAATAATTACGGGTTCCTTAATTGTTTAACATTATTTACACTGTTGCGAAAACAAAATGTTCGTCCAATATATTTTTAAAATAATGATTAACTATATTATTCTTGATATTAATTATAATTAAATTCGTGTTTATAAATAACTAAATATTATTTCTTAATTCAATCTGGTCGAAAAGTGCTACAAATATACAAATATTTCTTTGCTTTCGGAAGAGTTAGTATTGCGTTTGCATATGTTTAATGAATTTCAGTTTACTAGCGATATTTTTTTTTTATTTTTTTTTTTTTTTTATATTGTATATGAGCAGATATTACACGGTGAAATTGAAACTATTCTTCAACCAAATAATCGGGATCCAAGTCTATGGTTAAGTTCGTTTGCATAATTATATTGATCGTAAATTGTTGATATGGTTGATAATTTAATTTCTATTCATTCAAATCGTTCTACTACTTCAATATACATGTATCACTATTTGCGTCTATTATTTCAGATATAAATCTAACACAATCTACAAAATGAATGTCGCTTATAGATTTCTATTTTGGGTCTTATTGTTTTTCTTCTGAATCAGTGTTAAATTTATGGAGTTTTTTCTTTCTTCGACTCTGATACCTGATATCTTAGTTCAAAAGAACTACAGATTCGCTTTCATAATCATCAAAATATTCTTAAACATTTACGGCGCAACTGAAAATATGAGTAGATATAATAGTAACAAAATTATTTTAAACGTTTATACTTGCGATTATAATAAAGACTATTGTCGTAATTTGTTAATGCGTATACGTATTTGTGAAATGTATGTAACGGTATAAATGTCTACGGTTTGTTTTAGGAAAACAAATATGTATAAATATATATCCCGATCGCATATCGATGCTAATTTACTTACGGTTATTGATTTATATTCCAACTGCCGAGTGTAAATATAATATTTTAGTTCTATTATAACATAAAACAATCATAACATGTATACTTATCGAGTCCGATAAGCTGCATCGCAACTGATGTATAAAAACGGACCGGGTATTTATTGTTTGTCCGATAAGTTTGAAAGCGGATAATGTATGCGTTCCGTATTATTATACTCGTTATCTGTAAACACGACTGTAAAATAATAACGCAGATTAGCGAATGAAACAACGAGGCGACACGAATAAATCGTTTTTTAATCATTTTAACGTTTTATTGTTTTAATGGTACATCATAGTCAATATCGGGTGGAGTGAAAATCAATATCCGCACCGTTCTACGTTAAATAGATACGTATTTTATTATTACGTCGATTACGAAAGAAGAAATGTGTTCAATAATCCGACATTGAAACGTTGATTACGGTATATTTAATTCGAGTTGTGTAGGTTGAACATTTCTTACAAAAACCCATAGTGCAGTGCATTTGTTAAAATCAAATCGATCCAATACACGAAATAAAGTAATGCGCTTCCCACGCACGATATACGGTGTACGTAATGCGGGAAGAAATCAGCACAAGTGTGCACAACACAACATACTCGTATAAGTCAGAACGTGTGTGACAAAATCACGAGATAATGAAAAAAAAAAAAAAAACAATTTTTATTATTGTTGTTAACACAATTCGCGCGCGTTACGCAAGAACAACGTGTTTACGGACACGTACTGAGACGTGGGTAAAAACTAAAAAGAAACCCGTAGACAAAATAATTATGTTCAACGGAATCGACGGATTTTTTTTAATTTACACGTTAATCGCAGTAAACCGTTTCCGACGATAAGATTCGTGGCGGTGGCGTAGATACAATTTTTTTCTTGGTGGTGGCGTTTAAGAGTAAGTTTTCAAGCGTTCTTTGTACATCTCAAAACGAGGTCGTATGTAATAATATTACATTTAAAATGGTATCGCTACTACGTCCCGTATTTAATGAAAATTAATTTGTTACTCGATTTTTAACATGTACCTAATCGTAGTGAAATCGAAATGTTTTACCGTAACGTGTACATATCAACAAATAATAATCAAATATCGTACAAAAAAAAAAAAAAAAATTTACGGGGGGGATGTAAGCCCCTTACACCCTCCCCGTAACCACGCCACCGGACTTGGGTGTGTAATATTTCTTCCGGCGGAGAACGTTACGCGCGCGCTCAGCAACGGTCAACGGTTGTGTCGGTCGCCGATACGTGTTTGGTATACCTACTCGATGTTGAACGGAGAAAGAGCAACGCGTTATAATACCAGCGCGGACTCGGCATGAGTCATATGCCGTTTACAATACGCGCGCGCGTTGTGTTGTGTTGTTGTTCGTAAGAGCAGGTCTCGTCTCCAGCGCTATTCTATCGGCGATATGCTTTAATATCGTTTTTTCGGTCGTATAATAAAAAAAAAAATATATATATATACGTATACTTTTTAGAAAATGTACTGTTAAATATTTTTTCCATCCGCTCTCGACGCGTGCGCGTGCGAGTAATATAATCGTACGAATATAACGTGCAACAACCAACACGCACAAAAGACACGTTTCCCTCTCGACTCCCACATTGCGGCGTGCGTATGTGTCCGCGCGATAAACCGCCGAAACCGAAAAACCGAAAGGCCAACGAACACGGTTTGTGTGCGCGCTGGTACAACAAAACAACGCATAGGCGGAACGGCAACGTTGACCTGTTTGGTCCGGGCGAACTGTTGCCGCCGATTAGTCATACGGGTTCGGAACGCGGCACCGTTTTTCCCCCCTCGCGGGTACGCGCGCTCTCGGTCCGTAACGCATTAGACGTTTCGTCCGCGGGGGGGGGGGGGGGGACG